CTTAAATCTTAAATCTTAAATCTTATCTTTCTCATCTTCTCATCTTTCCTACTACCTTCTCCTATTGGTATCTGTGATTTATTGCTTGTTGTATCTTGTGATTGATTGTAACTATGATCTATGATGTATCACTTTGTTGTTGTATGTACACTAAGAGTTTATGCACCAGAGACAAATTCCTTATGTGTCCAATCACACTTGGCTAATAAAGAATTCTCTTCTCTTCCCTTCCCTTCCCTTCTCTTCCATTCCATTCCATTCCCTTCCATTCCATTCTTTTGAAGAGTGGTAGACTATATACAATAACTATGCCAAACTTAATAATTAACCTTTGCTTTATTTACCAGATAGTTCTTATGTTATTATGAAACCAATGGAAAGGTACAAAAATATTTCATTCCAGGATGACGCAAATTATCCACTGATGATGAGTCAATAGTCAAAGGAAAACACTAGATCCTGTATATCCATACCTTTTCCTTACATATCTAATTTTTGAGTTCCTTACTCACCAGGAAAAGTGATATTGAAAGTTGCCTACCAGTAAAAAAACCTCCAAAGTCAGATTTTTCTTTCTCAGAAAAAATTATAGTTGAAGGGTTTTCTGCAATCTTACAAAAGGAAGTCTAAAATATTTTATGACTGTAGCCTATGGGTCGTAAAGATATATTTCATGAAATGTGCTCTTCTGTGTCTAAAGTAACTTGTCTCCCTATTTTATTTTTTACTTATTTGTTAGGTTTCATCCCACCTTTTATACAATGCTCAAGGCAGTTTACAGCACCGAAAAAGGCCCATTACGAAATGTTAAGAGTAGAAAATCGTCAAAGTCAAGCCAAAATTAAAATCAGTATCAAAAATAATTGCTATCCTTTGAATTCAATTCAATTCCCTTGAATTGTTCGCCGCCCTGAGTCCTCCCAGAGAAGGGCGGCATACAAATAATAAAATACAATACAAATAATAAAATACAAAGTGATCTAGAAAGCTTTCATCTCTAACATGGGTAAAGCAGAGATAAATTGGATCAGATTAACTCAGCCTGGTGGAAATTATGCAGAAAGGATTTGGATGATGAAATGGAGCCAATTCTCTTTCCCCCATCAAAAAAAAACCCCTGTCTCAGTCTGTCAATAAGAAAACTTGAAATCTAGCTTTTATAACAGAAGATGACTCACTTGGAGTTTACCTACAGGTGAAATATCTACATACATCAGCTGTCTTTGAACAACAATAATTCCAAGGAGGAACTGCTGGTAAAAACCAAGTTACGGATGTTATTTGAAATGTAAACACATGTAAGGCAATTCACACACAAAAAAAGATTTCTCTAAGAGAATTGACACCTTTTGAAATTTATTTCTGAAAATAAATGGGGGGCTGGAACAGTTTGCTGAGCGACGAACACAACTAACTGCCTTTCTCTGCTGTGAAGAGTGATAACCATGAATTAGCTTCACGCAATGTTAACACTCTTATCCATTTAGCAGCAATAGAACACACAACATTTTATAGTGTAGAAGATGACAGTTCCTGTCCTGTTTGGCAACCAAAGAAGCAATAGATGAAAAAAGAAACATATCTGGGGTATATTTAGGAATTCCTGGATAGAGAGTCTAGGTCCCTCTAAAGGGTTTCAGACTGCACAAAATTGTATTTCGGCAACATTCATGGGTTTCCCAGTCCTGGTGTAGGGCATGAAAATTAAGGCGACAAGGTAGATTTTAGGGAAGAAACTGATAAAAAAGATGGCGACTTGGAAGAGACGAGTTCGGTTCGGTTCGGATTAGAGATGGAGGGGACCCTGGAGGTCTTTTAGTCCAACCCCTTGCTCAAGCAGGAGACCCTATACAATTTCAGACAAATTGTCCAGCCTCTTCTTCAAAACTTCCAGTGACGAAGCATCCATAATTTCTGAAAGCAATTTCTGTTCCACTGGTTAACTGTCCTCACTGTTAGGAAGTTTCTCCTTAATTCCAAGTTGCTTCTCTCCTTGAATTATTTCCATCCATTGCTCTCTGGCGCTTTGTAAAATATTTTGACCCACTCTTCTTTCTGGCAGCCCCTCAAATACTGGAATACTTGGTATCGTGTCCCTCCTAAACCTTCTTTTCTCTAGACTAGCTATCATTACTGTACAGGCACCCAAGAAGCCATCTCAGATTATTTCAGGTAACTGGGGGAACATTTTGGAAAGTGGGGAACAACAAAAGAAATAAAATTGCAGGGATGGGCTGTAAGGGAGCAAACTTAGAATACCTAGAAGAAGGAAAAGATATGGGCAGGATACTTACTCGATATTTATCAAAGTTTTCCTGAACCGTAAAGCTGCTCACTCGGCAATCCCGCTGAGCTTCACATCTGCTATCCAACAACGCCAGGAATCCCACCAGCATCAACCAAGCAGGAGTTGGACACCTGAAAGGCATCTTGTTCCTCTGTGCCTGCAATAAAAATCAAACACCAATCATAACATGGGGGGGAAAAAAGGAAGACTGTCCAGAAAAACCCAAAGAAAGGATGAAGAACAGACTATTTTTAGGCATGTGGCAGATGAAATGGGAGGTCTTATGAAGGCTTCTTAAATAGGGCACTAGAATCCCTCCAAAAGGGTCTTTCTGAATCAGGGCAGTACTGGGGCTTCTTGAGGTCTTCTTCTGAATATCATAAGTCACCAGAGAAAGGGGCTCAAATAATTAAAGGAGTTACTTGTCTGTGGAAGAGAAATGCAGACCCAGGCGGCTAAGTTCTGAAGCAAACAGGAAGAGGACACGAGCTTTATAAACTCCTGGGGTTGGTGGGACAGTTCTTTTGTAAGCCCAGGCAATAGAATTGGGAGGGGGAGGCAAGCAGAGACCAGGTGTTAGATTAATTCCAGCTGCTGGCCAAACTCTACTAACAAAGATCTTGCCCAACCTCTGTCGCAGGACGCCGGAGAAAGCAAACAGCATTGATCTTTGATCCCCAACCACTGGCTAGATGGAGGGGGGGGGTAGATCACATATTCTTCCCTGGATTCTGCACCCAAAGAGGTGTCTCCGCTTTATGTAACACCGCCTGAGTAAAAGCCACATCAAGAAAGCAGGATTCACACGATATTTATCAAAGTTAATAGTAATAGCAATAGCAGTAGACTTATATACCGCTTCATAGGGCTTTCAGCCCTCTCTAAGCGGTTTACAGAGAGTCAGCATATTNATTGGTAAGATAAATAGTCTCAATGACCTTAAATAGTCTCAATGGCTATTTAAGGAGAAAAACATTTGTCTTCAAATGGGCAAAGAGGGACTTTTCTTCCTTTATGAAACCTGCCATATGTCTGAGTTTTGAAAACATATGTCCTGTGTTCTTGCTAATGAGGCTGCCATGCTTCTCTTTTAATGGATTGTAAACTGAATTAAAATGTCATGGGAAATTTGTATTTGCATGTCTACAAATTATTGTAAGATTCTCATCTGAAACTGCAAAAAAAAAAGGAAAGGAAAACTAAGAAGTTCATCAATGCCTGTCAGATAGACTTTAAGATTCATCATTTTAGGACAGGAATGCAAAATGTGTAACCATGTTGTCTATCAGCATTCTTTTGGAACCATACTCCTTCTACTATATGGAGTCAGATTTTAGCTTCCTCCTCCTCCTCTTCCATGTGCAAGTTCCTAGCTTAGTCAAGACCATTGATACCTTGGTGGACAGCTTAAAAGGTTCTGGAGCAGAGGTGGGATTCAGCTACCTTCCTTACTGGTTTGCAAATGTGAGCACACAGACCTCATCTGCGCACGTGCACCACCTTCTGCGCATGCGCAGTGATCTCACATTACATCGGGGGGGGGGGGCGGAGTCACCTGCAGCCACCCCTACCGGTTCACCCAAACTGGAGAGAACCATCTGAATACCACCTCTGCTCTGGAGACTGCAAAAACAGGAGGATTTCATATTCATGGTGGGAAACATACACATCTACTTCTAAATTTCTTACACCAGTATTTTTTATAGAGCAAAGAAGAATAGACTTTGGCACATTTGTACCAAAGCCCATGCTTGAAGATACTAGATTCATTTGGCAATGCTAAAACTTCCCATCCTTTATCCCTACTCAAATGGAGAAGAAAAGAATGAATGTCTGCTCCAGATAAGAAACCTAATAGAGCTGCAGAAGCAAAAGGAACAGCCAAGTCAACCGTAAGTTGTTCATATATGATCAGATTGCTGGCACAGCAGTTCCTAAAGCTTACATCCTTGTTTTAGCAGCTCCCTTTCTCTCGTCAAGGAGCTGCTTATGTTGGAAAGCTCCCCAGCTGGCATGCAAGACAGAAGCCAATTTAGGTTTCACAGGAATAAGGGGAGAAAACTGCATTTACACTAGGAGTGGTCAACCTGGGTTAACCTGGGGGTGAAGTTAAAAGAGGGATCAGCCCAGTGGTGGGTTCTGGATCCCGGTGCAAGCGGTACGGGGCTAGGCGTACACCCGTGATGCTCCGCGGCACTCCAGCTGCTCGGGAGAGCATTGTGCAGACACTATACACTCCATGCGCATGCGCGGAAGCCCAAACTGCTCAAATACACGTAAGGAGGGCAAGTGGGTGGGACCTCCAGAGTATCATACCAGAACAGTACCTGATGCTCCCAGCAGGCACTGGTACGCCCATACTGGGGCGTACCTGTCATAACCCACCACTGGATCAGCCTGAAATCTCTACATCAGTGGTGTCAAACTCAAGACCCAGGGGCTGGCCTGGGAATATCAAAGGACTGGCCCAAGGTGCCTCTGCCAGGTAAAACAGGCCACATGCAGCCCCCTGCAACCCATTTTTTGCCTCCACGACCTCCTGCAGCACTCTTCCAGCCAAAAATGTTCTTGGCCCGTTTTTGGTGCTGCAGGAGGCCATGGAGGGTGAAAAGGAGCCGAGGTGGCGCAGTGGTTAGGGTGCAGTACTGCAGGCCACTTCAGCTGACTGTTATCTGCAGTTCAGAGGTTCAAATCTCAAGGTTGACTCAGCCTTCAATCCTTCCGAGGTGGGTGAAATGAGGACCCAGACTGTGGGGGCAATTTGCTGAATCAATTTGCTAAAAAAANTATGTATGTATGTATGTATGTATGTATGTATGTATATAGACACACACACACACACACACACACACACACACACACACATATATATATATATAGTCATGAAAGCTAGAGTGGCTGTAATTTACAATTTGGAAATATGGATCAATTTTCAGAAAATTATCTCAGAATTTCTTGTATTCATATTCCTCTGAATCTTTTCTGGGAGATTTACAACTTTCAGACCAAATACTTTTTCATGAATATATGTGTCCCAGGATAATGTTGCAGGATCCAATCTGGGTCGGTCATCAGGATTAGAGTCTTCCAGGCAGGGGTGGGTTTCAGCTGGTTCGAACAAGTTCAGGTGCATCAGTTGTTATGATTTTGCTCAGTTTGCTCAACCAGCAAAATTGACAACCAGCTGGCCCCGTCCACCCTGCCCTGATCTGCCCTATATGTTAGCTCCCCTTCACCATGTGATCCAGCTAATATCTGTGCCTCACCTCCACACATCACTCGCTCTGCTCATCAAAGGTAAGCATTCTGCCTGCTCACCCTTTGCCTCGGGTTGGGTTCAGGGGAACACCATTCCCTGGCTCCGGCCTTGCCCTGGGCTGCCACCCACTCTCTGCCTGCCTCAGCCAGGCTGGGAATGCACCATTCCACTGCCCTGGCCTTGCCTCAGAGCTGCTGCCTGCTCACTGCCCACTTCGACTGGGTCATGGAATGCACCATTCCCCAGCCCCAGCGTTTCCCTGGACCTCTGTCTGCATGCTACCATCTCCCTCAGGCCTCAAACTACTGAACAGTTCTTACATAAAGTTCTGCAGCAGAGATATTGCAGCTATCCCTCGCTCGTGGAAACGCCCCATGTGGTCTCTGGGTCAGCAGCTGCTTCTCTCTGCTGCTGCTCTTGCTGGGAGAGAGAGTGTCTCTTGTGCAATTTAGCAGATGTGAGCCACCGCTTTCCTCTAAGTCCCACTCAGAAAGCACTGTGGCACAGAGAAGCAGCATTCAACATGGCTGTTACTTCTCTGTGCTGCATGCTTTCTGGATGGGATTTAAAGGAAAAGGGTGGCTCACAGCTGCTAAACAGCACAAGAGACGCTTTCCCTCTCCCAGTTAGAGCAGCAGTGGAGAGCAGAGATGGAGTGGAGCAGGCCCCGAAATTCTGCTTGGTTAACCCTCACCACATGGAGGAAGCTGCACATGTGCAGAAGTACATGCATGTACACTCACATTTTCGGTGAACTGATTATTAAATGTGTTGAATCCCACCACTGCTTCCAAGCTTTTGGACTCATGCTGGAGCCCATCGTCATGGAATTTCTCTCTACCAGAATGTGCCCTTTTGACTATTTTATGCACCAATGGGAAGGCACCACAAAAATATGACACATTTAAAATGGTTGTGTCTACAAGGATATACAATTCAAGGCATGTGCATTTTTGACATGAACATCATGAGGATGGGTGCAGACATATCAGAGATGTGCTGCTGTGCATGGATGTATTCTTCACAACCGAGATTGTGACACACATGTTCAGAGCATATTTAGACTTGTCCTAGATTTGCCATTCTGAGTGGGTGCTGTTAATAGTAGAGTCCACAGGTGATTGTGAACTTCAACAGTTTAAACCTCATTATCCTGTCCCTGTCAGAGTCATAATCCACAGAAGAGGATGAATCGGAGCTGGGGCTCATGTAGGTTGAGTGGGTGGCCTCATCGGCTATGGAGGATTGTGGAGAGGAGCAGGATGAAACAGCCCTAGGGCCCTTGGGCTTGGGACAGCTTGCCAGCAGGGAGGAACATGGGCAAAA